ACAATTTTTTATTATTTTTGGCCTCCAAAACAAGAAACTTAATTGAAACTCTTTAAAAAGTTTAGGGACTAAAGTGTAATAAGAAAGTTGAAATTCGGGACCAAATTGAGTAAAATTAAAGTTTGTGTCAAATTGAACTAGATCTAAAAGTTGAGGGACCAACTTTTATTTTATAATTAAAAGTTGGAAGATTTTAAGAGACAGATGGACGGTGTTATAATGGCGGTTAAACGGAGCGATGACGCTTGCCCCTTTTTTTGAAGATTAAATGTTAATTTTGGGTTTTTAATTTTAAAATTTTATACAATTTTTATCTCTTAATTATTTATGTATTTTTTGGTCATTTGACTATGAAAAATGTATTTGTTTAGTCATTTGTCAGTTACTCTATTTTTTAATTAAAAGTTGGAAGATTTTAAGAGATAGATGGACGGTATTATAATGGCAGTTAAACGAAGCGATGATGCTTGCCCCTTTTTCAAGATTAAATGTTAATATTGATCCCTTAACTTTAAAATTTTATACAATTTTTATCTCTTAATTTTTTATGCATTTTTTGCTCCTTTGACTATGAAAAATATATTTTTTTAATCATTTCGTTAGTTAGTCTATTAAATTCATCTAAATATGTATATTTTTAGTCTTTTAATTTTAAATTGAGGGAAGAAAAATGTATACATATTAGAAGTTAAGAGACTAAAAATCTACATATTAAAATAAACTTAACGGGCTAACTGACGAAAGGGATGAAAAAGTGTATTTTTCATAATTAAAGGATAAAAAAAGTGCAGAAAAAGTTGAGGGATAAAAATTATGCAAAACCTTAAAGTTGAGGGACAAAAATTGGAATTTAACCTTGTTTCAAAGTCGAGAGATTTTTATGAATGCTTTTAAAGTAAAAGGATGACAATGATTCCTTCTGCAAAGTAGGGGAATTTTCAAGGGCATTAAGCCAATACTTAGATAAATAATAATCATAGATACGAATGGCAACTGGATCGCCGGTTTTGCTAACGAACTTGGCATAAACTTTAATTTCAAAGCTAAACTTTGGGGAATTAAAATAGGGTTGGAAATTGCTGCCAATTTAGGCATTAACATATTGAATTTGAATATGACTCAAGATCTGCTAAGATTATCATGGATTGCATCTTCTTTTGATTGAATCATGCAGGTCGATGATCCCGCAGTTCGTGGGCGTGCAGTTTAGGCATATCTCCGGGGAAACAAACTGCATAGCTGACGCCCAGGCTAGACATGGGACGAAAATGAAGGATAGTTTTTGTGTTGATTTCGGATATTCCTGCCTTTTGTGCTGAATTGGCACTGAGTTTTTAAGTAAACATATTTTTTCCTTTGGTCTAAGAACAGAAGAAAAAGAGCTTAGGCTACACGGCGCAGAGCTCATCAGCTAGGAATGGAGGCTCAATGATCATCGCACGAATGGAGAAAAAAGTGCATTTTCAAAGGACAATCTGATCACAGCACCCTTACCATATGCAGCCGTATTGTTGTCTACTATACAGTAACAGGAAAACACCAAAAAAACAAAAGTTCTTCAATCCAATGGAAGAGAAAATAGTGAAGGAGAATTGACAAATTAAGGACATTTATGAACTAATTTAGTCTTGTACAGATTACAAACGAAGAGAAAAAGTAACATGCCATTATCAAAAATTGGTGAACATGCATGTTTGTGCTTTTAAAAAAAGAAGCACAAGCAACTAACCATATGAGAGAACTGACATTCTCATGCCAAGTCGTTTCCAAAGTGGAAGCCATACATGGTTGAAAATTATCTTTGCTTGGTTGCTGTTAGGTTCTCTTTGTATTTTAATGATGATTTAAAACCATGATTCAAAAGAGTTTAATTTATTTTTGTGCTAAGTATGCAAGAAAAATAATTCAACGATTTTAATCTTTCCCCACGATTAAAATTAATTCATGTTCCCCTTGTTCAGAGTTCTGTGTTCAAACCAATTTAATTTGATTTGAACCAATCCCGAACTTCTTTTTTCCAAAAATTGTTCGAACCATTATTTCTGGCTTCGAAGCGAAAATTTTGGAAGGATAAATTTTGACAACTCAACTATCCGTTTATTTTTATTCTTAATGGGCCTTGGAGGAACCAATCGTCTGAGTACTTTCCAAAGTTCAGTTAGAGTTAGTAGAATAAGGTGGAATCTAATTGGAGCATTAGTGAGGTGGCTTTGAAGGGCTAAATGGACTTTAATTGCAAGGCTCCAAACTTACTATTAAAAAGATCATAAAATCATATCTGCACATGAACGAAAAAGGCTTTAGTGTTACAGAAAACAGAGTTTGAAACTGTTTTGGATCTCTTTCTTCTTCTTGTGAGCTTCTTGTGAGCTTTTGGGTTAATTGTCTTACAAGGGTTTTGTATTCTTTTTGAATTGGGATAATCCTTTAAAGGGTTGAGTGAGTTGAGATTCACTTGTGAGAGTTTAATCTTGCACCTGCAAAAAGAGTTTGTTCTAAGTTAATCTTACACCCGTAAGCAAGAGATTTCTAATGGATTGAACTTTCGAGCAAGGAGGCTTGGGGAGTGGACGTACTTCAGGTTGGAAGAACCATTATAAATCACGGCTTCATATTCTCTTCCCTCTCTTTTATTTTTCTGCACTATATTACTCTTTGTTTATACTGCACAACAGCTTATAAATTGCAAACTTAATTTAAGTTTTGAGAAAAAAAAAAAAAAAAAAAAAACAA